CTATCTCTACCCCTAGCCCTAAAGGCTATCTCTACTGTTAGCCCTAAAGGCTATCTCTACCGTTAGCCCCAAAGGCTATCTCTACCATTAGCCATAAAGGCTATCTCTACCATTAGCCACAAAGGCTATCTCTACCATCAGCTGTAAAAGCTATCTGTACCACGTATTACTGCATAAATATGCCACACACCTCTACACAACAAGTATACCAACTATCATAAAATGGGCCGGCCTTGGTGCGTTAGACCCATTGGTATGGTGAGAAGACTCACCTTGCACTGCAGAAGCTTCCCGCATGAATTCCTTAGCTGCTGCCCCGCCAGTTTCCCGAGCTTCATCAAGCTGAGAATGAGTCCCAAATGCCAGATCCACAAGCTCATCCTTGATTCCCATCTTTGCAACAAGTTCCATCTTCTTGAAATGCACCAAAAACCACCCAAAATGCACCCACAAAGCTCACAACACTCTTGGATGAAGCTACCACTCAAAATTAGGGTTTAAGGCTCTATGAATGAAAGGGAGGCGCACCCCCTCGGACTTAAGGTGCTTTAAATAGCGAGCCAACCCTAAAAATTAGGGTTTAGGGCCTCTGAACGTACGTTGGGCGTACGCCTCCAACACACGCGACTCCTCATCCCCTCTGCGTTGGGCGTACCCCAACTTACGTTGGGCGTACTCTTGTGATGGCCACCTTCCTTGTTACTTTTCTCCACTAAGGACCAATAATGCCAATATCCCCAAAGTACTATAACTTCCTCAATCTAAGTCCGTTTCCTATGAACTTCATATCCACACAAAGGTGGTGAGAAACCCTACGCTCCCAGCTCCACACCCGGGCTCTACAACCTTCCGCATAAGACCCGAGACCCATAAAAGACCGAATCGTCAGATTACGCTTATACCCTTGGCCCCCGAAGACAGAATCGAACACTTTCAAAATCGGGTGTTACAAAGGGCAAGTAAGAACATACCAGCATCTAAGTGTTACACCTTTAGTGTTACAGTTGTCTGAGGATTAAAAAATCTCTAAAGAATCTCTCATATTCATATTTAATCAGATATCCCTATCAACTAAATGAGGCTTCCAGAACCCTTCCGGAGGAACTTTAAAGCCGTCCAAGGCTAGGAGGTTCTAGAATCTCTCATTTTCTCAAAAATTGAACAATTGCAATTTAACCCTTGTACCTCTGATTGATTCTAATTAACCCGAAATTAATTTCCAATTAATTTCGTTTAGTTCTAAATTGATTTTAATAAATTTCTAGTTAGTTTATTAATAATATAATAAATTAATAAAAAAATTTGTTGTCGCTTCTAATATCATTGCTAGATATTTCTAGATATGAGGACAACCCAAAAAGGACTTTTCTTTTATTTAGAAGAGTATACCAATTTAGTTAAGACCTTAGACACCTTAATCCAATAGGATCGCCTAACACCCCCTCCCACCGGTCAAGTTGGAACATGGAGATCGTAAATTCCCAACTTTTCAATGAGAGTCTCAAATAGCATTTTGCCAAGAGGTTGCATCAAAATGTTCACAAGCTGCTCCGAGGTGTCTACGTAAGCAAGAGATATCTTTCCCTCAAGAATTTTTGCCCCACACAAAGTGACAATCAACCTCGATGTGTTTTATACTTTTATGAAAAACTGGATTTTTTGCCAAATGAAGAGTCGCCTTGCTATTACAGTAGAGAGGAAAGGTTGCAAATGTTTTACACCCAGACTTTTCAGTATTCCTTTTGACCACTTGAATTCAAACGTAATTACAGTTATGGAGTGATATTCCACCTCGACTGATAACTGAGAGATTGTTGGTTGCTTCTTTGTCTTCCACACAATAGGCAAACCAACTAGATACACAATCCATCCTTACAAATATCCTAAATTAGCATACACGTTGTCTAGTCTAAATCATACCAACCTATCAAAGCCAAATCATCCTTTGTGTGCAACTGAATACCATTTTCAGTAGTATGATTCAAGTAACGAACCACTCTTAAAATACCATCCCATTGTTCCATATGAGGAGATTGCATAAATTGACACAAGATATGCATCGAGTAGGCAATGTTGGGAATAGTGACTGCTAAATAGATTAATCGGCCAACAAGTCTGCGATACTGTTCTGGTCGGGCATTTTGGCACTTTTCGGAAGACCCAATTGATGATAATGTTCAATGGAACGTGCAGATGGTTTGGCTGCCAAATCCCTGCTTCGGTAACAATATCCAATGTGTGTTTTCATTGACACAGGAACAACCTGAAGGGACTTTGATCCGCCTCTATCTTGAGAAAATACTTCAAAGGACCTACATCATTTAGTTTGAAGTAGTCAATGAGATAAGAATTGAACAAATATATAGCCTATGAGTTATTTCCATAAATATTCAAGTCACCTATGTGTACGAGCACATTTAGTTGTGCATTGTTGGTGGAATAAGTAAAAATATGTAGTATGAATATGATTTTAAAAAGTCATGCCTTTTAAGAGCGATGGCTAACTTTTCGAACCAACATCGAGGTTTTTGTTTTAAGCTGTACAAGGGTTTTCGAAGACGACACGCAAGATTATAGTTAGAACACTGAAACCTGGGAGGAAGCTTCATGTACATTTCTTCCTCCAAATTGTTGTGTAAAAAGGAGTTATAAACATCCATTTGATGAAGTTCCCAGTTTTTTATGGCTGTCCCAGTGATAAAAATATGTAGATGTTTCTTTTGACTCTTACATTTTGTTGTAGAATTATCGACAATTGATTTTTTTAAACATGATCCCATTTGTAGAAAAGTAATCAAGCAAACATTTAAATTCCATTTCGTTGTCACTTTGAACGATTTTGCTATTTCATAAAATTGTCTTTCTACCATTGCAATAAAGGACATAAAATTTTGATAAATGTATGCTTTACTAACCAAGAAATATACCCAAACATCTCAAGAAAAATCATCTACCAATGAAAAAAAATAATGATCACCTCAAGAAGTACAATTGTATGGCCCCTGGAAATCACAATGTATCTTTCTGAAAAATCCTAGTCACTTTACTTTTACTCAATGAAAAACTATCTCTAGGTTGCTTTGCTCGGAAACATACTTTGCAAGATTTATTCAAACTCCCTCACAAATTACTGACCGAAGGAAGTAATTTCACTACTTTTCTTGAAGGATATGTAGAGTCTATTTATGTTGTGAGATGACGAACCTTAGGTAGTGTCTTAGATGTCGAATAGTCTGTAAATAGCGAAGGTCAACAAGATTTAGTTATGTAATATATATATACTAGGCACTTTGCAAATTCATAATGTAATGTCGAGTCCTAGTATTCTTGGTTTCCTTGAGTATCCTATAAATTGTGTACGTACAATAGAGGGTTGTAATTTTTGCACTCTTGTATGCTCTGAGCTTTCTCTCTCAGCAATACCTCTTGTACTCATTCCGGAAGTAATTGAGCCGAAACCATATCTTATTTAGATGTTGTGTTCAATCTTACTCTGATTTTACTTAAGATTGATTAAAACATAATTCAAACACCCTTTCAATTGGTATCAAAGCAGGAATCTACACATGTTGAAGAATATTTTTCAATTTTTTCATCTTAATTGAATCATTTGCTTCGATTCATTTTTTCCTCAAGATTGAAGCATAATTCTTGGGTCGATCCTTGTCATTAAACGGTTATGCGTTTGTTTTGTCAATCGTTTTGCATTCGATTTCTTTCTTTTCAAAGTTTTTATTCTTTTCAATCAATTCAATTGGCAAATTAGAATGTCAACATCGTGATGAACTACGCAAACTTTCTTGGATCCCCTACAAAAGTTCCAATGTCTCTTCCTGATTATTACGATCAATGGGCAAATCATATGGAAGACTATCTTAACAGGAATGATGAAGATGCTTAGCGATCAATCAAAAAAGGACCCTATCGCACAGATCTTATTCAAGCAGTTAGAAATGTTGGTGCTGCTGAAGACATGATTTGCTTAATGAAACAAGAGGAAGCTGAATGACAAAAGATGTCTCCATGAACTATGTGGACCTTTGCCACCAGTTTTTGACAACTATGTTCGAGGCTGCAAGACAACAAAAGAGATTTGGGACACTTTGAAGGAGAAGTACCAAGGGAATGAACGAACCAAAAAGAGTTTTGTGATGCAATGCTTGTCGGAATTGGGCAATTTTAAGCAAAATAAAATTGAATATATCGAAGCATATTAGGATAGATTAAATAAGCTCATCTATAAGTGTAACAGATATGGAGTCATTCGTACCACATTGGATTTCAATCCCACCTTCATTTTAGGACTGAATAAGGAATGGAGGAATATTTTTCTCATAATCAAGACTCATGAGAATTTTGACACCTACTCACTATCAAATCTCTACAATATCTTGAAAGCACATGAGTCTGAGGTGAAGGAGATAGCCGAGGAAAACAACAGGATGAATTTTTGGTGGTCTAATGGCAATAGTTTCAAAGACAACTAAGAAAGTGAATAGTTATGATGACGAAGAAAAGGAAAATGAAGAAGGTTTTCTACTAAACTCAGACGACGAAGTTGTTTCCTATTTCTCCAATAATAGGGTAAAGAAGTTCTACAAAAGCCAATCAATGGAAACTTCAAAAACAAATTCTGTAAACAAAACAATGTCGAACTCTAGTGTTAGACAAAAGAGTGTTTAGAAAGTAGAGAATAAAGAAGAAGATATTAAATTTGATAAGAAGCTGAAAGGTTATTTCTGTTACAATTGTAACTATTGTAATAGGCATAATCATTTTGGCATCTTGCGAAGGATTTTATGTTGAGAAGGCAGGAAGAGAAGAAGGAGAATGTGAAGGATGAGGCGTGCTATGCGATGAAGATATAGGAACTTCGTTCAAAATCCAAGAATCTATCCTTATTTGTGAAGGGTGCCGATGATGAGGACGTAACCTATCAAATATGGTCCTCTAGTGTCGTGGAGCCTACGAACGAACATGTAATCGAAATTTTTAACAAGATGGGTTATCAGCCTACCATTATACTTGTAAGCAATTTCAAAAAGTCAAATCTTCCTGGGGTATGGTACTTCTTCTTTGGAATCACACTTCGATGTATAACTAATAGAAGTTTTGGTCTCGATAAGGCAAAGCTCAAATTCTACTATGTTATGGTTGGTATCTACTATGGGTTGAATGTGGATGATGCTTTGTTACTATGGGTTGAATTTGCTTCATCAATCAAGCAATTTAAGAAGTTGACAGAGGTTTCCCATGCTTTATTCTAGAGTTTAATCTTAAATGAAGTCTATTGTCAAGAAGATGTTCTAGTACCTGAAGATGGTGAGGTTACTATATCCTCACAGCTACATGTTCCCAAATCAACACTTGGTTATCCAATCATGTTTCCTGCTGTTGGTGGCATTCTAGATGCCATGTTAAAATTTGTATCTCCTACAAACTCCTCGTTGATAAAATATAAAGACTCTATCGACTCAAATTCTACAGGTATTATCCTAAAAATATGACTTTTAAATCCACAGAAGGAACTTCATAGATTCACAAGTTACAAAGAAGAAGTCAAAAGCGAAGCCTAAAACTGTTAAATAATATGTTTCAATGAAAAATACTCTTGAGAAGTATGGGAAGGGGGTTTCTAAGAAAGTTACAAAAGTTGTTCCTTAGAAGCCTGTTGCTCGTGGTATTGAGAAGGAAGTTGCAACTGTTGTTAAAGAAGGTGTAAATGAGAGTTCTATTCCTAAGGTTGTTGTCAGGAAATTCAAGAAGTTGAAAACAAAGTCAAAATCTTATGGTGTAGTTATTTAGGAAGTTACTAAGGAAGAAAGCTTAAAAAGAAAAGTTTTTGGTGTATTAAAACGAATTAATAAGCTTAGGCTTCGAATGATGAAGAGACTTCAAACAAAGCTTTATCACCAATAAATACCTTTGAGGCCGATAGAGATAGTGAAGAGATAGAAGATGATTTCTTTCGTAATGATGGTCAAACTTTTAGTGTTTCACCTAGAAAGGATACCAATGTCAAATCAAATTTCAAGGAGATACGTATTCCTGATTTCAGTGTCAATGCATCTGATGCGGATGTAAACACCAATTCTAGTGAACCTATTATCATTTCACTCCCTGAGAAGATAATAATCACACCAGCCAAGGTTTCTATTTCTGAGCCCAATGTGGAGGAGGGTAGGACTTCAAACATCACCAAGAACTTATCTAATAAGGAATCAAATGTAATCATAGGTGAAGGGAGTTCGACATTAGAAATCGAGACTACAGTTGTTCCACCACCACCACCTTCGTCACCATTACAAACCTACATAATCCCTCCAAAATCAGTTCCATCTGTCTCAACAACATTTCAAGAAGTGATGAATGAACCACTTACTACAATGTTCTCTTCTCAATCCACAAATTTTGAGATGTAGTCTCACGAAGAAGAATATGAAGATGAATGGTTAGATTCGCAATGTTAGAGTTCAATCCAGAAGAAGTAAATGTTGATGACAATTCCATCATGTTTGGAAAACAGTACACAATTCTCAACTCTAAATTCAATTTAATTCTTCAATTATTGAATGACAGTGCTGGAAACTCAACTGTTAGCAATAAAGAAATCAAACTTTTGTTAAAATCTCATGAGTCCATATTTAGATATTTACTCGATGGTGTTGTTGAGGGCGTTAATGAACGTTTGTCTACTCAATCTCGAACTTTCAATCATGAAATCGAGAAATTATAAGATATTGCTAGCGAGCGCCATGCGATTTTTAAGAAGCTGGTGAAATCTTCTAAATAATCAATTGAGTCAAAGCTCAAGGATTTTACTGATTTGTTTTCTAACAAAGTCCAGAATCGTGATAAGTGTTAGGAAGTAAAGCGGATAACTAGCAAAACTATAAGCACACAAGACATAGTATTTACGTGGTTCGGTCAAGATGACCTACGTCCACGGGCAGAAGGGGAGTATTCTTTATTTCAGATCTCTCAAACAGAGGTTAAAATTACAATTACATAGAGATTCGCCTATCACTCTAAAATTAAAGATGCAAAATGACCTAGCATGCATCCCTATTCATACTTGAGAGATCAGACCTAAAACCCGAATGGGCCAAGCCCATTTGCCCATAGACCCATGAAAGGTGTCAACCAATCACAATCAGCCATGCAGCATCTTATGGAGCATTCATCCATGTAATACAACCCATGAGCATCATCAACACACATGACAGAGCACCTTGTGTCATAGTGGAGCAACATGATGTATAAGTGGCGCATCATGAACACTAATGGCCCAACAACCATCATGGTGGCACAACATGGCGTAATCCTTAAGCAATACCAACTTCTGAGTATCCTTGAACGATCTTCAACATCATAGAGGACTTCATAGCATACTTTCTCATTAAGGACCAAGATGGTCCAACATGAACCATGATGGCACAAGTGTATGGATGGCGCAACAAGCTTCAAGTGTGGCACAAGAACATCAAGATTGGAGCAACAACACCACCTTGGCACATTAAGAACATACATGGCACAAAAAGGCCATGCATGGAGCAAGAGTATACTCTTTGGCTCGACAGGAATACCTCATGGAGAAAGCGGGATCCTCATGGCGCAAGAGGAGCCCCTCATGGTGCAAGAGAGAGCATAATGGGGCAAGAAGGAATGCCCTTGGCACAAAATCATCCTTCTTAGCCCATCCCTTCAACATATGGCACAAAAAGGTTCCCTTGTTGCTCCATATCACTCCCAAGTGCTCCAAACCTCTTCCAGTTGCTCCAAACCCCCTTCTGTACGATCCGTTCCTTTGGCACTTGATCTGTTCCATTACTAGACGATCCATTCATTTCTCAGATGATCCGTTCCTTTGTTACATGCTCCATGAACCCCACGTGATCCATTTAGTTCCATGTTCTCCAAATGATCCATGAACACGATCCAAATGCTCGAGTCACATTTAACAATCTCCACCTTGACTTGAGAATCCTCTTAATTCCACCTCAAAAAAGAACTTCCTCTCTCATCCTGCCATTCGTCCCCGAAGGGACCTACCTGTTGTGAACATCAACCAAGTCCAAGAAAATCTTAAACTTCTCCGTGGGCAGTGACTTTTTCAACATATTTGCTGGGTTGACCTTGGTATTAATCTTCAGTATTGAAAACTTGTCTCCTTCCAGAATATCTCAAATAAAATTCATCCTGACATCAATGTGCCTTATCTTCTCGTGATACATAGGGTTCTTTGCAAGACTCAAAGCACTTTGACTGTCACAATACAAGACATGATTCTCCACCTTCAGCCCAAGACTCTAAACAAGCCCTTGCAACCATATCTCCTCCTTTATTCCTTCCATCATGGACATTTACTTGGATTAAATTGTAGAAAAGAAACAATATCTTTAACGTTGACTTCTAACTGATGGAACATCTGAATAAAGTGAATATGTAGCACGTCTGTGACCTGTGCTTCAAAAAGTCACCACCATAATTAGAGTCAGCATATCCCACCAAGTCACTCTTCGTATTTGCTCCATACACCAAGAAAACATATGTCGTTCCCTTCAAGTATCGTAAGATCCACTTTACAGCTTCCTAATGAGTCTTCCCAAGATTACTCATAAACCTGCTAACCACACTAACTTCATGAGCCAAATTAGGTCTGGTACAGACCATAACATAGATGAGACTTCCAACAGAACTTGAGTATGGAACCTTGCTTATGTACTTATTTTCTTCATTAGTAGTGGGTATAGTATTTGGACCAAGTTTAAAGTGAGCCCCCAAAGGAGTTCCAACTGGTTTGGACTGATCACAATTGAAAGATTGAAGGATTTTCTCAATGTACTTCTGTTGAGAAATACAAAACCGCCCTGCTTAACTATCCCTTTGAATCTCCATCCCCAATATCTTCTTTGCTGCTCCCAAATCCTTCATCTCAAACTCATTCTTTAGGGTCGCCTTCAAGTCATTTATTCCAGCCATGTCTTTAGCTGCGATGAGCATATTATCAACATATAGCAATAGATATATGTAGGAATCTGGTGACAATTCCTTTGCGTAAACACAATTGTCAAACTGGTTCCGAGTGTAGCCATTCGAGATCATGAATGAATCAAATCTCTTGTACCATTGTCTTGGAGACTGCTTCAAACCATACAAGGATTTCTTCAACAAACATACATGATCCTTCTTAGAATCAAGGAACACTTCTACTGGGACATATAAATCTTTTCTTCTAAATTTCCATGAAGAAATGCAGTTTTCACATCAAGCTGTTCAAGCGCCAGGTAGAATGCACTGACCATGGCCAAAAGAACCCAAATTTTATTGTGCTTCATGACCGGTGAGAGCACCTCATGATAGTCAATTCCTTCTTTCTGAGAAAACCCTTTTGCCACCAACCTTTCCTTGAACCTAGCTGGTTCAACTCCTGGTATCCCTTCCTTTTTCTTAAAGATCCATTTGTATTCCACTGGCTTTGCTCCCTTTGGAAATGGAATAAGATCCCATGTTTCATTCTATTCTATATATTGCATTTCTTCATTCATGGCCATCAACCAGTCATTTGCTTCCCTACTATATCCACTGCCTCTTTATACAACCGAGGCTCCTTAGTTTCAATGTCTTCTCTAGTTGCTAAAGCAAAAGCAATGGAGTCAAGTTCACCTGAATTCACACATCTCACATATCGATCAGGTTGTCGAATGACCCTCTTTCATCTTCAGTTTGCTATAGATTCAGACCCATCATCCTTCCCGACATCAACACCACTGGATGAAGATCCCATGGGTTTCTCTTGAGTTTCATCTTGTCCAAGCTATTCACTGCCACCTTTCTCTTTGTCACTTATCACAACTATGTCGGGAGTTTGAGTTGCAAACTCCACCTTCTGGCTAGCACCCTGATCTTTGTTCCCTGCTTGACTTGTATCACCTCCTCCCTGGTTACCCATGGTAGATTCATCAAAGGTCACATCTCTGCTCATGATAAATTTAGGAGTTCTTCCATCTTCTGTAAACCACAGTCGATAACTTTTTACTCATGTCGTATATCCTAGAAATATGCACTTCATTGCCCTTGGCTCAAGTTTACCATCATTCACATGAGTATTTGTGGAACATCCAAATATATGTAAACCATAATAGTCAGAGGGTTTCCTAGACCATACCTCTGGAGGAGTCTTCAAGTCAATAGCAGTTGATGGTGATCTATTCACCAAATACCAAGCAGTGTTAACTGCTTCCGCCCAAAATTGCTTGGATAAGTTAGCAAATATCTACATCCACCATGAACATTGCATGGTTGATCTGTTCTTCCACTCCATTTTTCTATGGTGTGTGTTGTATACTACGGTGTCTCACTATATCTTCTGCCTTGCAGAAATTATAAATTGAAGTGTTGCAGAACTCAAACCCATTTTCAGTCGTCAGAGTCTTGACCTCTTTTCCAGTTCTTTTCTCAACCATGGTCTTCCACTCCTTGAACTTCCCAAACACCTCATATTTGGTCTTTAGAAAGTACAACCAACCCTTCCTTAAATAGTCATCAATGAATGTCACAAAGTATGAGCATCCTCTTTGAGACTTCAACAGTGCAGGACCCCACAGATCTAAGTGAACATACTCCAGGATTTCCTTGCCTATGTGTTAACCAATACCAAACTTCACTTTGTGATGCTTTCCCTTAACGCAAGATTCACAAGAATTTATCTTTCTAGTAGCCTCTCCACCAAGTAGTCCGTGTTTACTTAGAACCTACATGCCCTTTTCACTCATGTTCCCCAACCTACGATGCCACAACTCTATCTTGTCATCACCTTCATTCAAGGATTGGGAGATAGCCACCGATCCCATAACCATAATGCCTTCTAGGATATAGATCGCTCTACGATTCATCTTCTCTTTCATTATAACCAGAGAGCCTTTGGTTGAACTAGTCACTTTCACCAGCGTACCTCATCCCATTCTTAGCCAATGTGCCAAGAGAAATTAGATTCTTTCGAAGTTCTGGAATGTACCAGCAATCTAACTTCCTGACCATGGCATCGTGCATCTTGATGTACACCGTGCCACTACCTTTGATAATGCTCACCTAGTCATCACCCATTTTAACTGTGCCATTTCACTCTTTGAAGGAGTCGAACCAGTCACGATTATACGTCATGTGATAGGATGCTCCAGAATCCGAGACCAAAGCATCAGCAGGACTTGATGTACATACAGTCAGTACATCACCATCGTCCCCTTCATTAGAACTTTCCTGAACCACAACATCAGTGTTATTGCTGCTTGATTCACTCTTGGACTTCCAATTCTTCAGTTGTGGACAAATTCGCTTGAAGTCCCCCTTCTCCTTACAGTTATAACACTTAGCATTCGATGTACCTTTAGACTTCGATTTAGAACGTGATCTCCATCTATTC